TAACTTGGCACTTAAAGTAAGAGGCTTACGACTCCTCTTTTTATCACAGCTAAGCTTAGATGCCATCGTCAATGAGAGCCAACTAGTTAACGAAAGAGTAAACGAAAGAGAACGAGATACAGAGCTCAGACAATGTAAAAACACAAACTGAACAGGTAGTGGGCGATCATTTGGTCAGGCAAAATGAATGCGTATTAATATGTGTCTACTTTTAGTTCATTCACGTATGTTTGTAAGAGTTTGTAAAACTTTTACCTCACAATATTTTTTATTATAATAATAATTACCTCATAATACAAATACTCTTACATTGTGTACAAGTGAGTACAGAATAGACAAACAGCAACACTCCCATTCTCATGTAACACACCATTTTTAGAGTGTATGAAGATATTGTTATTATTATAATAAAAAAGCGCTAAACCCACAATTGTTATATATATAGAGTGAAGGCATACGAAAGGAATATTTTCCTACAGTTACCCTCCAGTGTTTGACTAGAGAAAACACAATTCTTTCGACACTACCTACACAGCCACTTTGTAAACAAATCTCATATTTAGGTAAATTTTTATTATGTGAGTGTATGTATTATGTTTATATGCTATGTAACGTGTGTCTTACATAATTTTGAGGAAAATATCATAAATGGATTAATGAAAATGTCTATTTTAATGTAAAATAAGACATTTAATGTGCCCAAGAGTGATTATTATTATGTAGTATTGGCATCATGAATAGAGAGACTCGTAGCAATTTTAATGTGCACCTGCACACCAGCACAGTGTGTAAGTATATTTAGGTACAGGTACACAATTATAATTATCAGAGTACAAATAAAATATTCAATAACTTTAAAACACTTGAAATTTTGGAAAGTGTCAAGACATAATAGATATGGTCACGAAGAATGTAAACAAACCGGGTGGGGCGTGCCATATTTAAAAGACCGCTTGCCTTATAGCAAATTTTGGTCATAAATTGACATCACCATTAGCGTGGAACGCCGTAAAGCGGGGCCTTACTGTACTCAGTGTTGTCCTGGCTTCAGATTACTGCTTAACTATATTTCCTTTTCCTATTCTGTATAGTCCAGTTGTATATTATTTAATTTATAAATGCTATGATTATTTGCATTCCCTAGCTTTAAGACATTTATCTACTTTGATTTCTTCTGCTAATTTCATGACCACAACACTAACTTGCATAAATAACCTTTAAGTTTTTTTGTGCCAGAAACATTCCCAGTCAAGGAATTACAAGTAATTGTACTATTGTATTAAGCAATTGTACTATTCGAATAGATTTCACCAAAACAAGAGGAAATATAAAAAAGACTTGAAGACACTCGGATTCTGGGCACCCATAAACTGAATAAAACTAAGAGATATTGTCCAAATTCAACCGAACAAACCACAACTACAGCTTATTGATACAGTTAACAAGATAAATGACCTCTCAACCATAGGATCAAATCTCGCTAGTAAAATCCCAGGCAAAAGTGCCCAAGTGAGTGATTACTTAGATGGGAATTTCTCAACTTCCTTCTGTCTTGCACCAACCAAGTCCGCAGAAGTCATTGCAATTATTAAGTCGCTAATAAATAAATCGGGAAGTCTAGCACAGGTCCCACCATTATTGTATAAATGAACGGCTCATGTTCTTTCACTCACTATTTCATTACTCTTTAACACAACTCAGGATAGCAAGGGTTACACCAATACACAAAAGTGGTGACCCCACAGATGTAAACAACTACAGGCCAATATCAGACTTACCGTTGCTATCCAAAATCTTCGAGAAACTCATGCACAAGAGATTATGTTCCTTTATAAAATCACAAAGCATCCTCAGCCCCTGCCAGTTTGGCTTCAGGAAAAACAAATGCACAAACGACGCAATTGTAGAAATGCTAGACCTACTTTACACTGCACTTGAAAAAATGAATATCCACTAGGACTCTTTATTGACCTAAGGAAAGCTTTTGACACAGTAGACCACAGCATCCTACTCCACAAACTTGATCGTTATGGTATAAGAGGCCACACACTTACATATATCAAATCTTACCTTGCTAACAGACATCAATACATCTCTATTAAGGACACAACCTCATCAACAAGACCTCTGGACACTGGAATACCACAGGGAGGTATCCTTGGCCCCCTGCTCTTCCTCTTATGCTGTACATCACTTATCTTCCAAACGTATTATAACAACTTAGTTTTTTTCTCTTTGCTCATGACATGACTTTCCTCACTCAGCACTATTGTTAATGAAGAGCTAGTAAAAATATCGATCTGGTTGACTGCCAATAAACTTATCCTTAACCCTTTAAGGGTCCACAGGCCCTCTCAGAGACTTGTTCTCAGGGTCCCCCAAATTTAAAAATTTTCCAGTCTGCTAGTCGACAAAAATCATAACTATTTCGCTAGAACTCCATTTTTTTCTATTGAATGAGTACAAGAAACCACCAATTTACCGATTTCAACTATCCAATACAGTGGTCAGAATTTAGCAATTTTGCCAATTTCACACAAATTTCAAAAGATGCCAACTTCCAAATAGGGTCCAGAATAAACAAGAAAGACATTCCTGGCACTAAAATAACATTTCCTCTGTTCATTAGTCACGTCCCCAGGCCCCTCTTACATTTTGTTTGCTTTCCACTTTGAATTTTTATTCTCAAAAAAAAAAAAAAAAAGATTTACTCTTATGCAGACTAATGCATTAGTGTAGAAATGGTATAAATAATATTGGCACACTTGTGAAAGAATATTAGACTCACCAGTTGACGTGTATTGGACGCTTAGCATGATTTGTTTACTTTCGAACTTTGGTAAAAATCGAACATTTCTTCTACTTTGAGCTCAATTTCAAGGTACTTTTCATTGTAAAACCAGTCAAAATCATCTCAATTTCTGTAATATGTCTTCCATTCTATACAATGAGACCTGGAAAACTAGAATACAACAATAAATACCATACAAAAATATAGTGCAAAGTTGCTGTTTTAATCCAAAAACACGGTCAAAGTTTTTTTTTTCTCATTACGCACTGTGTGCTGCAGGACTTTTTTTATATTGTGCACACTGACCACATAGACCCATTCTTTCATATGTAGGCCTACCAGCTTTCTCTCATTAGATTTGAAGGTGCTACAATTTATGCGTACTAGTACGTCTTGGACACTGGTGCGTAAGCCGTACTAGTACGGCCGAAACCCTGAAAGGGTTAATATTGACAACAACCTTCTACATTATGATTAGGAGCAGAACAGGTGATGCCCAACTGAACATTATGATTGATAACACTCAATGCTAAACATAATGAGGGCAAATTTCTGGGTCTGCACCTTGACAGGAACTTGAAATTCAACACCCATAGCCAACACATGCCAAAGAAAAGTCCCCAGATCAATTGGGATCCTCTCAAAGATACATTATTATATACCACAATCAGCCTTACTCACTATACTATTCACTCATATATCCCTACCTCACCTATGCTATATGGGTCTGGAGATCAACAGCAGCAACCCACTTAAAGCCAATATTAATCCAACAGAAAGCTGCGGTAAGAATTATCATGCAATCCAATGCTAGACAACACACCTCCCCACTCTTCAAAGACCTAAACTGTACAAAACATTCACGCCTACAACAGTGCAACCTACATTTACAGAACCATATTAATCTTGAACTAAAACACTTTCCTGATAGCTGCAACAGGACCCATAGACATAATACCAGACAAAAATCTCTATGATATTCCTTGTATTTGGCTAAATCTTTTCAAAAATTCAGTGAACATAAAAGGGCCCAAGATCTGGAACTTTCTGCCCAAAATCTCCAGAACCACTGACTCAACCAGCATTTTCAAAAGTACCGTTAAAAAACACCTTATCTTACTAACACACCCCAACATCAGTTGTGTGAAAGCCACACATGCTATTTTCATTATCATGAACACATCTAAAACTATTTTAATAGACGTAACTCTCATTATCTGTAAATTTCTGATCTTATACTTACACTCACCCATATGACTGTAAACATAAATTTCCTGATATAGTTATTGTCTAATTAATATTAAGTTAGTCCTAAGTTTGCCTGAAATACTCTGCCAATAAAGGAGCTTTCGATTGTAGAAACAGCATATCATACCGAGTTAAAACCATTCCTATTACTAAATCATACTTTTTTCTTGCTACCTCACTGTTATCAGTCTTATTAATGATAAATTTTTTAATTACCAAACTTTTATATTAATGTGAAATAGTGAATACTAAAATGTATTATGTCAATATAGAGTAGTCAGTAATAATTAGGATTAGTCTGCTCAAATGCCTAGGCATGCTAGTGGCTTTTTTTGTACTTAATGTTTTGTAATATGTAAACCACACACTGTAAGCTTTGCAAAGAAATAAAATTTTCATTTTCATTTTCATTTTTCACAATCAATTTGAGTAAAGTTAACAAAGCCACACAAGTACAATAAAGCATTAAAAAAAATTGCTCTTAAAATCTGTTTTTTTTTTATATGGTATTTAAGAAATTATAATCCCCCACTTAAGCTCCCGCTTCACACACGGAGGGCCCGGGTTCGATTCCCGGCGGGTGGAAACATTTCGACACGTTTCCTTACACCTATTGTCCTGTTCACCTAGCAGCAAATAGGTACCTGGGTGTTAGTTGACTGGTGTGGGTCGCATCCTGGGGGACAAGATTAAGGACCCCAATGGAAATAAGTTAGACAGTCCTCGATGACGCACCGACTACTTTCTTGGGTTATCCTGGGTGGCTAACCCTCCGGGGTTAAAAATCCGAACGAAATCTTATCTTATCTTATCTTATATAAAGCTCCAGCTGAATGTTGGGCATCATTTGTCACTAATGGAGAGTGAGACCCAAAGTTACCAAGTACATAAACCTATTAGTAATTTATTTGCATTTTTTCTAGGCCATGCACATGTAATAATTATCTTTATCTGATTTCAGGGGATGGCTATAAATATATACTTGCATGCCTCTACAAAGAGTTGCAGGAGACAAAGACTATTGATGGATTTTTCGTCACTGATCAAATCACATATAAAAAGAAGCCAGAGAATACCCCAAAAGTTTTCCCCAAGGACATAAATGTAGTTTATCATTTGAGCTCAACTGATGTACAACAGAAAGTCAAATTTGATGCATAGTACATACCCACAAGTAAAAATTGAATCATTTTATATATATATATATAATATATATATATATATATATATATATATATATATATATATATATATATCTATATATATATATAATTATGATTATTTTTTGTCAGTGAAATAATGTATTTTTGTGATGTTTTAACTTAGTACTTACTGAAAATAATGAATTTGTATGTCTACAAGGCCATCATGTATTATCCACAACTTCTAAAAAAAATGGGCACTTTTTGACTTTTGTTCACCAGAAAAATTCTTAACATTAAGTGAGGGCATTAATATTCATTAATATGAAAACTCCCAAGAAATTGATACTGAGTTATTTGAGATACACTGCCCTTTCATTCCTTTGGAAAAATTTTTGGGGGGTCCCCCCATTCCCCAAGGTACGTATGACCTCAGTGGCTTTTTGATAATTTCATATTTAAAAAATGGTGGAATTCCCCATTCCATTATATTGAAAGAATTTACGGACTTAATTAACACGCAGATAAATGGACAAAAAAACAATGACTAGAAATTCCTTTCAGTAGAAAAATTGTTCCCGGGAACTGTAAAACTGATTTTCATTTTTTCCCCAAGACACGGGTAGACGGATATACATTTTGGGTTCCCAGAAACTGACTGATATAAAACTGTTCCCAGGACATGTGATGAAAACTTATTTTTCCCCGGGACACTGAAAGATGATTTTCTTTTTTGTTCCCCGCCAGGGTGGGACTAAATTTTTCATATTTTTTACCAGACACGGGTGGGACTGATAAAATATTGTTCCCGGGACACTTTTAACTGAAAACATATTGCCCAGACACTGAAAGACTGATTTCCCTTTTTGGGGCCCCCAGCACTGTAAAATGATATACTATTTTTCCCAAAACACTGTAGACGGGATATATAATTTTTTTTTCCCCAACCGGGAAAACTATTTTAATTGTTCCCAACACTGTGGGCTGTTATAAAAATTGGTTTTCCCAACACGGTTATGATATTTTATATTGCCCCCCGAAACTGAAAACTGATTTTTACTTTTTTGTTCCCCAAAACACTGTAGACGTATACATATTGTTCCCAAGACACTGTAATGATATCCCATTTTGGGTTCCCAAAATTTGTAGACTGATTACATAATTTTCCCAAAACACGGGAAGACTGGTGTATATATTTTTTTGCTTGTTTTTGGCTGTGGAAAAAACTAAAACCTTTTTTTTGGAATTTTTTGGGCCCAGATTATTTAAAGGGGAAAAACAGCCCAAAATAGAAGGGAATTTAACAGTGACTAAAATTTAACATCAAGTCAGTAAATCGGGCCCAATTTAAACCCATCACCACACATTTCATAATTTTGAACTAAAATGTTTTTTTAATATGTCCCTGCAAACCAGTACTACTTGACTACCCAAAAAAAAACCTTTTTGGGAAAAGTTTAGTTTTTCCCTTTTATCCTTTGAAAAAATTATTTGCGTTTAAATTAAAGTACTTAAAAATTTATTTTTACATTTTGAAATTTTCAAGATTCTTAAAACCTTCTACATATGATTAGAACAGTCCCCTTTTGTATAAAAATTTCATTTATCTACTTTTAAAAATTATTTGTTACTTTTAAACCACTTTTAATTAATTTTAAAAAAGGTTCAATTTAAATTTAAATAGTCTTTAATTTTTTTCCCCCGGTTTTGTCCCCTTTTATTATCGGGAAAAGCTTAAAAAGGTTTCCCTTTTTAAATTTATCTAAATAAACTTTGACTTTTACTTTTTTTTTATTTACAATTCTTTTTTTATTAAAAAAATTTTTAAATTTTTATTAGTACAGTACTCAAAACATAAAATTTTAATTGTCAATTATTTACATACAATACACAGGATCCCTGGAGGGGGTTACCTTTTTAAAACCTTAGTCAAGCCCTTAACTTTGTTTTTTTAAATCATTTTTATGGATTTTAAAGGGCTTTAAATTTGGAATTTAAAAAGAGTTTCCATTATGAGATAATTTCATGAAGAAATTTTAAACATTGAAAGGGTCAATTAAAAAAGGGGTGGTGGTAAAAATTTTTATGAAGTTCAAATGCAAAACAATATTTCAAAAACAAGCTTTCTAAAGGTTGTTTCTGATTTTGGATGAGTTTAGAAATTTTTTTTTTAAATTCCCAGCCATGGCCCAAAGGGCTTTTTTTGGTGCTTGTTAGATAACCAGGGCTTTGCTGCGGGGCACCCCAAAATGGTCCCATCCATACATCGGTCAGTTTGATTTTTGTTTGGGGGCAATTGGGGGAACTTTTTCCTTTTCCTAGAACCCTTTTTTCACTTGTCCCGGGAACCATTTTGAACCCTTTTGGTAAATTTTAAAAATTTTAATTTTAGGCACAAGACTGGGAATTTTTTTAAGGGGGTTTTTCTTATTGTGCCTACAGCTTTCCCTCCCTTTTCCCCGGATCTAATTGTCCCATTTATCTCAAATTCTCTCCTCCGTAAGCGCAATGGAATGCACTTTATGGCCTATTTTACACACAAAACACACCACAACACACACACACACCACACACAAACACCCCACACACCACACACAACACACACAAACACAACACACACACACACACCCCACACTAGGGGAAGGGGGGCACAACCCGCCGGGCCCTCCGAGAATCTTATTTGTTTTTAAAGGGCGTCCCTTTAGCATTTTGAAGCAACCAGTTTTTGTGAAAAACGCCCGTGAAAAAAACCCAAAAGGGAAAACCCAAAAAGTTTTTGCAAAAAAAAATAAATTTAAAGGCGAGAGAAAGCCTAAAAATTATACAACAAAATTTAAAAGTGCCATTTTCGTTGGGGCCCCTAGTTGGCACTTGTTGCCACACTCTTAAAAAATATACAAAGTCAAAGCGAGTGACAAAGAAAAAAAGTTCAAATAGTTTTTAAGGGAGGGGTTTTGGCAAAACGAGAAACTGGGGATTTCAAAACAGCCTGCGGAAAAAGCTACCCAGAAAGGGGGAAATTTTTAAAACATTTTAAAATAATATATATGCAGAGGTGGGGGCAGCGTGGGCCCGGGGAGGAAGAAAGTGCGGGCAAAAACAGGTTGGGTTTAACCAAAAAAAGAAGTGTTATTTCCCAAAAAGGAAGTGTAAATTATAAAAGTAGAAAGTATAAAAGTGTTTAAGGGGTGGAAAATTGGGGGAATAAAAAGGGCAAAAAGAAAAAAATTTGCTAAAGAAGTCAGGGGCGGAGGGCGAGGTTTGCAGAGCATCGTACAGGAGCATCGTACTTAAAGGATCGGGAAAGGGGACGTCCCCTCTGAGGAGAAAATGAAACAAATCACCTTTTTTGTGGTTGGGGGAAAGTTTTGAGGGGTAGAGCCGGCCCTACGTTCACTGGTAGCTGGTATCAAAAAACCCTGAAAAGAGCGTTTTTAATCATACACACAACACCTAGAAAGTAGTAAAAATTTTTAAAATTTTGTGGGAGCTGGAATAGGAAGGAAGATTAATTTGTGGCTAAGGGGACTACAGCCCTGAAAAACCGTTTTTGAAAATTTTGTTTTAGGCCCAAAAAACATTTACATCGAAAGCAAAAAAGGGGGTACACTTTTAAAAAAAAAAGGTAGTAATAATGGGTGAAAGAAAGACTCTTTTAACAAAACGCTAGTATTATAATTATTAAAATTTTCTCTGTTAATGGTTTCTAGTTTACAGATACACAGAGGTAAATTTGTATTTCTGGGACATAAAAAACAACTGACGTGCCAAACACACACTGTCACAAACACACCCCAACACACATACCCCATTTGGGGGCCCCGGGACGGAGTCTGACCCCTGAAACCCCCAACTAGGCAAATTTACACCCCCCACTCATCACACGCTGTTCCTTGGAATTTGCCGCATCCCCTCCCCCCCCCACACACCTTTCCCCCCCCAAAAGGGAAACTTTCCCCCCCCCCCCGCTTTCCCTTTAACTCCCCTCCCCCCCAACCTTTTTTTTCTCCCCCCCCTGGGGTTTTTTCTTCTAATAGCCTTTTTCCCTCCCCCCCCCCAAACTCTCCTCTCTCTTCCTCTCTCTCTCTCTCTATCTATCAAAATTTTTCTACCCCCCCTCGCATTTCTCTCTCTCCAAAAAAGCAAAAATCACCCCCAAAATAAAAAAAAACCCAAAAAGTTACAAAACCCCAAGGAAAACTTGGGTTTAGAAAAGGCCCCCTCCTGTCTTTAAAAATTTTTGGATCATTTACAAAAAAGGCCCCTTGTTCACTAAAGACAAAAAAAGCGATGAAAATACATACAGATTTTGGGCCAAAACCCTTTTCGCAAGGTATCAGGCGAAAATTGCGCACAAAATGCGTGCTAAAGGGAAATTAAGAGGAAAAGTCGGGGGAAATGGTTCTAAAAATTTCCTCAAAAAACAAAAAAACGAGAGTAGTAGCCCAACAGGGTAAACCCCCGGGAAAGCCAGGGTAAAAAGCTCGTTCCCAAGGCACAGTACTCCCCTCCCATCTTTTTCCCCTATCCTCAAATTGACATAGAAAAGGGAAATTGTCAGCCACAGCACTGTTTTCCCTTTTCCTTTTCAGGGGGAACACCCGAATCTGCATGACAGTGTCTTCCCATTGCAAAACCTGCAAGGCTCCAGGCGAAAATAACCAAATCTTTCGTGGGCTGCAGAAAAAAAAATATGAATTCAACGAGAAAAAAATTAAAATTTTCATTATGGTAAACCAGGAAAATTAAAACTTTATCAGAGTAACCAAAAAAAATTTTTTGGGCCCCAAAAAAAGAGCGAAAAACCAAAAGTCAAAGACCTGGGAGTGATCATGTCGGGGGGAAACTCACCTTAAGGGGCCATAACATTGTAAACAATCGAAACTGTGAAAAATTCCCGGAGGATAATGGAACTTTAAAAATAGGGATGCCAAGCCCCCTGAAAAGACACTCTTCAGGGCAATTGTTCTATCTGGCTAGAATATTGCTCAAAACTAAAAAAGCACCTTTAAGGCAAGGTTTAAAAATTTCTGACCCAGAAAATGAAAAGAGAACCTTTC